GGAGGAAGGATTGACAAGCCCTTTTCTGTTGCTTGCAGTTAGGGAGCCATTGCAGGACTCTGGAAACAGAGAGGAGGGGATGGGCGGCCTCCTGGAACAGGGGAAGAGACTGTGCTGAATTCTTCCTTAGCTGTTAAACACCCAAAGGTGGCTACAGGCACACAGTCTACTTAAGGACACTTATCAGAAACAAGACGAGGTAGGACTCCTGTTCCTTTAGTGAAGGCCGAAGTGTCAGTCCCCCGCAGAGGGTGACACTGGGCATGCACAGTACCCTGGGGAATGGTTTGTGAGGCCGAGGCAGAGGGACCTCACCTCACAAGGCCAGGAGCAAGCAAGGGGGCTGGACAGATAGAGACTGCGGTATTAGGGAGCTAACTTGTGTCCTGCCCGTGCAGAGATCAGGACTAACTACTCTCAGTACTAGCACCCTCCTGACTTAATTCCCAGAGAAAGGCCGTGCCAGTCACTTGGACCAGTGCCCACAGTTTGTGAAGGTCTTGCACTCTGCTACAGTCCTTCTGAGGGAATCTCATGTGAATTATTTAACTTCCTAGTGCCTCGGTTTCTGGTCTATAAAATGATGATAAAACTCTGCCCCACGCTACAGAAGTGTTGCAAGGAGAGTCTAATTAATATACATGAGACAAGCTAATATTCCAAGGGAGGGGGAGGGCTGTATATGCCTCGACTAATGAACATCTGTCAACTTCAACACTCAAAGTTAACAGTAATATAAGAGTGTGAGATAGTAATGCTTACCCAGATACTTAAGGAGCTATCTACCTAGTCACACAAAACAAATTAACACCTGCTGTGTGAAGTGTAGGGGCATTCATTCTGACAAACAGATTTTTTCCATAAAGGATGTTGCTTAATAGAGAGATGCAGTCATTTTCACAATTAGGCAATTAACTCTGCTATTAAAAGTGAGTTAAGCTCATTGAACCAAAATGAAGAGCACCAAAATATTTGAAATTAGATATCACAGACAGGCAGCCCAAGGCAAGATATAGGCTTTACATTTCTAATGTCTATCACTCTGGTACTTGTGTTATGACAAAGAACTGACTCTCTCTAAATTTCTTGGAACAGTATCAGCACTGACACCACTGCAGCTTTAGCTGCTGAGACATATGCTGTTTTCCTGCACTTCGCTCTCGGAGGCAAACACTTGGGATAAGAATCCTTGATTCAAAGGACAAAAAAAAAAAACCCAAAAACCAACCTAAAAAATCTGGATACTGGATAACGCCTGTTTGATCACCTTCCAATGTCAAGCATACTTCCTTGAAGTTTTGTGCTTGTGGTTAAGCCAAAAAGTCATTTAGTCTTCATCAGGGTGTCATGAGCAGCCTAGGTTTGCGGTGCTCTAAATGGAGCTGTAATAGAATCATGCAGTTTCTGTTATATCTGGAATGTTCCACCTTCCGAGGGGCTTTGATCTTACCCTGGCAAGATGAAATAACTGTGACCAAATGCTCCCGCCTTGGACCTTATTCTCTGCTGTCAGGATGTTGCATCAAGAAAATGGTTTGCGGTGCTCCCTCCCTCCCACTTCTTTCACTGGCCACTCTTGTTTGAAGTGAGGTTGCTCACAGTTGGCTGCACTGTGGACAGCATAAACGGGGCACTAACACTGACACCACCAAAATGCGTCAGCCCTCACCCTTGGGGCTGATGGCGCGGAGCGTGTTCTCTAGCCTGCTCCGCCTCTTCCTAATGCGTTGTCTGTGTGTCTAGCAGGTCCTTCTCCTTTGAGATGTGACTCCATCCACACTTTGTGGACTTGCTCCCCCCGCTTTCTGCTTCTCCATCACGGTGACATCGTACCTCTCTCTCCAGCCACTTGTCAAATCAGAGGAGGATTTCTGGAGAGCTCACTGAAAGTCAGAATGAGACCAGATTTGGCCAGGCCCTACTCCGGAGCTGATATTTTTCTAGTTATAGCAGCTAGAATAACAAACGATATTGGAACAGGCTTTCTACAGAGCTGCACCAATTTTTTGCTAGCTATGGATCTCGCCTCCAGGAAGATATCCTGAATATATATTGATTAATACAATGTCAGTCTATAAGCTCCTGAGCACCAACTCCTTTTTTCATATGATTTATCAACATTCACCTGATAGGTACTCTAAAAAGAACAAAACTCAGAAAAATAGCTCACTGCATACATCTTGTGAAAGCCACTTCACCCTTTACTGTTTCCCAGAGTAGTTATTTTAGCTTCATAACAAAGCTCCCCCCCATTTTTTTTTGTCCTCGCTGAAGCTATACAGGGCCCAAGTGAAGTACATAGAAACAAGAGCATGGTCTGTTGAAAGTGATTGTGAGTGAGCAAAACTGTCTACAAGAGGTCAGAAAATTATCAGTAGGAAAGTCTGTCAAGGTGGCAACTTCATCAAGTTTGATTTTTGTGAATATGCCTTATCTGATTAGCTTTACATCTTCAATCTGTTACAGAAGTGTATTGTGTTGGAAACAATTCTCCAAACAGAGAAAATGCCTTATTATTTCTCAGGTCCTTTGTGAGACCCAAGGAGTAGGGATGTTTTGTATTTGGGATGAACCATGGCCTCTCCTCCTGATGCTTATAAGATTTGTTCTCTGATTTGGACACGCTTCAACAGATACTTTTAATATTTTTTGGCTGTCCATAGGTCTTCTGTACATATTTTTTTCCTTTTCAAGCCTTAAAGATAGTTTTGAAGATAACAAGACCATTTGTCTGCTGCTTTTTGAAATGTGTATATTGATTTTTATTTTTTTTTTGTTCAATTTCCCTAGTCAGCCCAGTTTGCACCTGAACTCAACTGGACAGATGAGTAGGGCTAGAGAGAGAGAATGATGGATCACTGAAGAGGAAAAATGAGCTAGAAAGCAGATGAGACTCCCAGAAGACTTAGTTTCAGTTTTTCTGTCCCTTAGAGTGTAATATGAGCAAGTTATTCTGAGCAGGTGCAAAAGACTGGTGCTGGCTTCACACAGTGCAGTCAGAGGTATAGAGAATGTATTATCAACACAGGCGGGTACTTGTGATGTTATTTATACTTTCTATTGACTTTCCCCACACCACTCCAGTTCTGGGTTTGATGTGAAAATCATGTGAAGTATATTCCTTCTTTCGCATGTATGTGTGGGGGGCATTTTTGGGGCAGAAGCAAGGAAAAAGAAGAGTAGGTCATAAAATGATAATTAGGAGATGCTGAATTCCTTTACTTCTGTACATCTAGGAGGTTTATATTCTTGTACAGGTAGAGTGTTTCCAAGAGGATTAAGATAATTGGATTTTTTCATACCAGATTTGCCATGATTATCTATAATTGCCAGTTACTGTGTAGAACTTCTAGCTATGTCCAGCTCAGCTCATATGCTGGGGAACCTGGTTGCTGGACAGGAGGCAGTGCTTGGGTGAGCTTTTCTGTTTGGGGACTCCTCTGTCTGGCTTACACTGTGTGATGCACTTATTATTGGGGCAAAACGGTTTTTCTGCTATGAGCTGATTCACAGTTAGAAATGCTATAGGTTACACGGGCAAAACGTTTTAAATCTGTGCCTCTGTGTTAGCAGTGTTTGTGTGCTTAGGCTATCCAATGCTTTTTTTGGCGTGAACTTGTCTTAGGATGTTTGAGCCTCCATCTCAGCGTTATGGTCCCTTTGAGCATTTTCCAGGGAGCTTTTCCTTCTTCCTGAGAGACAGGGATGATTATCTGCACATCATATTAAAGCATCCTCTTTTAGCAGGACTGTTGCTAATTTTAAGGTGAGAGGAGGTAATCTGTCACAGCGTACCAGCATTGTCTTGGACATGACGTTTTAACAAAGCTACTGTAGGTTCTGTGTATGCGCGTTTGTAACAAAACAACGAGCTTGTTAATTAGATGCATTTTTTGTCTAAATATTTAAAATTAAATCAAAACAAGCCACTTCCCCTGTTCTTGTACCAACTATCCAGCTTAACCGGGGCATAGCAAACATCTCCAGGAGGTTTGAGGTGGGGTGATGTGTTAGAAGGGATGTGAACGGGTGTAGGGGACGCTGCTTTCATCATGACTTTCGGAGATTATAAGCCTTTGTCCAAAACATCATTTGGGTATACAAAGCTGGTTTGACAGCTCTGTTATTGAGTTTTTACAAACTGTTGTTCCATATTGAAATCCTACAATAGCTGTATTTTGTGATACCTTGTTTGTATGCACATTTATTCTTTTATTTGGAGCCTCTTGCTCACAGGAGAGGTGGGAGGAAAGGAAGAGATCAGAGAGGGGAACTGTAGAGTGAATTTGCCAGACCTACGCTTGTTGGCACTGCTTGGGTGTGCGTGTTTAGCAGCGATGTTATCTATCTGCCCATGCAGGCAGAAACACATGCACACACAAATGAGATCACAGACATCTCAAACTTGCTTCCTTCCAGACAGGCTTTTACATTATCCTCAGGGAAGAGAGGCTTTTTAAACAAAGGTTCGAAGCGCGTTATTTTGTAAGAAGATGTTTGCTCTCTCCATATTTAAAGAAACACGGTGTGTAAGGACCCTCTACAGTTCTGCATCCCTGACAAAGAAAGGCACTTACCTCTTACGTAAATTATGTAAAAGCTGTGATTTTGAGGGGAAGCATTGGTAGTGCTTCAGTTTGCCAGCCAGTCCAGCAGGCTGAGAGCTGTGCCTCCCTAGCAGCATCTGCCTCCAGTCAGCTTTGACTCCACGGCAGGTGCCGTGGCAGCAAGCGAGGCTGACTGAGGGAACAGGCTGGACCTTAAAATCAGGGGCTGAAACATGTGACGTGCTCACAGCAAAATGGAGACGGATTTGGGATGTGATTCTGTATTTACAAATGTATCCATGAGAAAGACATGGTGGCTTCTGTCCATTTCCCAACCCTTTCTTCTGCTGGCAAGAGTCTGATGCTGAGGAAAGGAAAACTTTCCTTTTGTTTCTATTGTTTCTATTCCTGATTTTCATGGTTGTTTTTTTTTTTTTTCCTCTCCAGCCAGAAGTCCTGATTGCCAGGCGCATCTTTCCAGAGCCCAGATCTGTTGCTCCAGCTGTTCTCTCACAACACAGGTATTTGATCCATCTATCTATCAGTTGTCTTTCCTCATAACTGTGTCCTCCTAGCTCCGTTCAATAAAGTCCACCTGTCAGGACCGCTTCCTAATCTGCTCTGCATCTACCTGGAATTGAGGGCAGAATACTCAGGATGATTTCAGACTTTCACTGGAAACACTGGCTCGTTTGTGTACAAGCCTTGCTCATAACACCCCCTGCCCTCACCTGCTGAAACAAACCCACAAACAGCAGAGCCTGGGATAGGCCCAGCTGAAGGCTTTTCTTGATCAAAGGGCAGGCCTGCCCCGCACCTTCTAAATGTCTGTGAAACAGCCGCTGAACTGAGATCAGGTGAAGGTCGTGTCCCTGGAGGGGGTTGTCATGTGGCCAGGCAGGACACGGGGCTTGGAGACTCCTCTCAGCAAGGTGCTGGCTGCTCACAGGATTGCAGCGGCTTCTCTGCCTGGAGGTCTGCGCTCCAGGCGTTCAGCAGGTCAGTTATCATGCGCAGCATGACGGGTTTTAGGGGTTCCTCTAGGAGGGGAGTGCTAAATGTTCTGCACCCTCGCATCCACAGAAATGCAGCAGCTTTAGTTTATTCAGTCAGATGATTCAAACTGAATTAATCTTGAACTCCAGTTCCTGTGCATACTCTATTAATTTGTCTTCAATTAACTCATGACTCTCGCAGAATTAATGATTTTTTCCTTGGGGAAAAAAAGGCAAAAAAGGCAGTAGTTCATGGAGTCCTGCTTTTTAATTCTCCAGCTCAACAACCTGACAACTATTGACTCTTTTTCTTTTTACCAACAACAAGATTTTTTCCTTTGTTATGTTTTATTGTTTATGCTGGATTGAACAATAACAAAGATGTGAGAGTTAAGGCTGCAGGTGCATGATCCAGTTATTGTCAATGAGTAAGTACTATGTGTAAGATGAGATGCAATGATTTTATGGGTTGTAACCTTGGACACAAACACAAGCAAACCTGATGATTTAGATGATGAGAAGAAAAGTTTAAGCTCAACTATCTTTTGCTATGCTCTAGTGGGGTGCACATAGATAGGTGCTGAGGTTTACTTAAGGGATGCTAATTTGTTTAGCCTGATGTGTGACTGACTTGGGGCTTTTTCTAATTTGTTTAGCCTGATGTGGGCTTTCATATAATGCAGGGATTATTCCCTAGGTAGGACTATAAACTCTGTATGTAAATGATGGTGAGAAGAAAGCAATTTAACTTCTTTGGCCAAGCTTGCATCTTTCTTACAGCCTATATGAGGCACCAAGGTTCAGAATTTACACACCCAAGTTGAACATTATAATGGGGGAAAATAATGCCTTGCAATTATATTTTGGTATTGCCTATTGTGCTTTTGAAATTTCTCCAACTCCAGCAATGGAATTTTATGTGTCTGCACATCACTGTTAGCGTGCTTGTTATCATAAAGCACCCATTGGTTAAAAAAAAGTAGAGTTGGATTTCTTTGTTTATCTTCAAAAAATTATCTGCCAATCAAGGTCAGCCAGCTGGACAAAATTAATGCAGCTGGAATAAGGGAATGATTCATGAACGAGATCACTCAGTTTTAATTAATTATTCCTCCCAAGAAAGAAGAAAAGCAACTCTCACCCCAGCACAGCATGTCCAAAATTGAACAGCTCTGTACAATGTCTCCCACTGTCCTGGCTATGACATGAAAGGGACATTCAGGATTTGCTCCTGGAAAGGGAGAAGAAATTTATATACTGGAATTTCAAGGCATATGCTCTGTGCACATTTTCCATGTAGCTCAACAGCTCGTAAGCAGCACTCCCGTAAAAAGCTGTCCCAATTCATGGTAATGGGACCGTTTAGAAAGGTTCTATTTCAGTCTAAAAAGCTTCATTTTCTTTCAAAGCTATTCCTTTTGTAGTTAGTAACTGAAAATGAGAGCAAATGTTCATTGTGTGTGTTACATATTCAACATGTGGCTGCAAAGGAATAGCAAAGAAGTCAGTGAATGTGATTTAGAACAAAAAGACTGTAGGTGGTGCAGGAAGAGCTAACCGCAGTCTGAACGCCAGAATCTATCTTCCCTTCCCATTTCATCTTCTGCTCTCATTACACTCTGGTCAGAAGCTGAAAAATCAGGGTTTTGGTGCAGTTTTGAGATTCTCAAGTCAAGTCATCTTAAACATTATTTATCCTTTAAAAGGTTTTTGTATTTAACTTTCCTACATAGAGTCAAAAAAGCCAAGAGGACGTTTGTCACAGTGTAGGGATCTTACGTGTGCCTCTTCTAATCCCCCTTAAAATTTAATTGCATTTAAACTCTGATTAGCATTTAACACCATCATAATATCACTGTTGTTTCTATCTTCTCTCTGATACAATGGAGATTCCCCACCAGTTATGAGGGTCATGAACAAAACTCATATTCTGTTCCTGACAGAAATTAATCTGATGATCTCTGTTCTCAAACTTGCAGCATTGAGTTAATTTGGCTGCAGGTACCATAACGGAGATCTTTGGGGCTGAGCCCTGCAGGACACTTGTCCTCTGCTCACAATTGCACAAGAGGCTGACAGTGGAAAGGAAGGAGGTAGAGAGCATGAGGCAGAGGAGGGATGCACGCGGGGATAACTGAGACGTGGTGAGGTGCTAGGCTTCACTTGATTCTCCTGGGCTGACTTTTTCATGCATTACATACCATAGTGCTAGCTGCTTGTATTCTTTCTCAGTGCTAATGGAAATAACTTAGTCCTAAAGATTATGATAATGGGTAAGAAGAAGCTTTTACCACTTGGCTGTAACACTGAAGTACTTCCCTGTGTCAGGAGTCTTCACAAATCATATGGCAGGTCCTCTTACCCTTCACCCACCTTCATATCTCTGTCCAGCTTTCACTGTAGTGTATAAGGTACCCTCTTTACACTGTGCCTAGCTCCAAGGTTTTGAGCAGCTTTAGCCCCTCTATCCCATCCAACGGCTCCCAAACCTTTAACGATCCTATCTGCTTTAGCAATGTACTCCTGATGTCAGCTCATAAGGAGCTGACTTAAGCGAGAGCTGTTTCAGCTCAGACCATTTAAAAAAGAAGATATAAAAGTGGCAGTAAGACAGGGGAAAGCTCTTCATAAAGTTCTCTTTGAAGCATGTCAAAGCCCCTTATCCAAGATGTGGTTATGTAGAGTCAGGTAATGCATGCCATGTTTTAAAAACAGTAAGAAGCATTACAGATGAGAAAAGAAGGTAGTAAAAACCTTGGTGTCCTCCCAAAGACCATGAAAGAGGCAATGGTGGATCAGTTCTGCCTCCATGTGGTGATCCCCTTTCAATAAAGATAACACATTTTCTGATGTGCACAAAGCTAAAAATAAGGGCCCAAGCCATGGCTGTAACCACAAAACATTCTCTTGCTGCTTCAGGTAAATGAGGCTAGCAGCTGTGTTAAACACCGGAGTATGGGACTGAGCACAGTTGGGAAGTTTTTTCCATGTTTTTTCCCATTGCTGTCTAACCAGGGCTCACCTGTCTGCTGTGCATCACCCCCCATCTCTAGTTTCTTACTCCAAGGAGGCTGATCGTGGTGGGTATCAGTGTCCCACAATAATCAAAGCAGAGCTTTGCAGGCAAATGGATACCGAGTGCAAACCAGGAAACTTTTCTCTGTGATTACCATCTGTCCTCCTTGTCCCTGACTCTGTGCTAGCGCCTCAGCTTTGCTTTTCTGGCGCTATTCAGTGTCCAGGGATTGTTTGTTTATTTTACCTTCACATTTAGTATTGATTAAATATTTATCAATGATAAAAGAGACTCTGCACGGTGGGGAGGAGAGTAATCCTGTTTTCCCTGTGACTCTCACAAAGTCCATTGAGGGGATGATGTATACGAATAGCAAGAGGTCCTGACAGGCTTTGCCTGCAGGAGGGGATGGTGGTGCACAGGGGCTTTAGGGTATGTCAGTTAAGCCGTTGTATAGCTGATGGGTTTGTGCCAATGTGTCTGGAAGTAAGGATGGAACACACATGGTGCTGGCCAAACAAATCAGCACCCTGAGCTGCAGCATTTACTGAAGAAAATGCTGATTTTCAACACTATTATTTATGCAACTAACCAGACAAGAAACCCAAAGATTTTGTTCCTAGCAAAGTGACTGCGGCTCCAGCTTAAAGGCTTTCAAGGGTTGAATTTGATTAAAACACTTTATTTTGCTTGGCCTGATGCCATCTCTGGGCCTGTCAGTCTCTACAGGGAGATGTCTGCAGATAGCAGTGCAACTCTGTGCATGGTTTGGTATCAAGCGCATTGTGCCTTAGCAGGAACAAGTTGCTCTTTGGAGTCTTATGGTTTAAAAAAAAAAATATAATCAAAGGACTCTTATGGGAAGGGGGCACTGCTTATCAGAGGAGAAGCTAAATCCTTTACTTTTCGAGCACATTTCTCTTGAAAGAGGGAAGGAACAGTTTGCAGGCCACTCCCCACACCCTGTGCAAGGCTTAGCCCACTGGGGTTTACTGCTCCCAACACAACAGCTACAGCAGAACAATATACTTTTTACCCACAGCATATGTCCAGTGCAGGGAAAAATGGCCTTTGCTTAGGAGATGCTTGGTAGCCAATTTGCCCAGCCACAGTGGCTGAAAGGGAGTGCTCTGGGCTGACAAATTCAGTCTGGCTGCAACTTTTATCTACCTGTATTTGCTGCTGGTTGAAGTTTGAGTCGCTTTTTCTGTGGCTTGGGGACTGTTTTCTTTGCTCTTGTGGTGTTTTTTTTTTTTTTTTTTTTTTTTTTTTTTTTTTTTTTTTTTCTCTTGACTTTGCAGTTTGGTTTTACTTGAAATAGAAAAATCTGTGGCTGGTCTCTCTCTCCAGAGAGCCAGGCCTGTTTTATTTTCTCTTTCTGGGCTAGATTGAGAAATTGATGTTCAAGCCAGGGCACAGAGCCCATATAGCTCCTTGGGTGAACTCCTGACTCCGTGGACACTACATTTCTCTGACTTCAGTGGTACAAATGTATCCTTGAGTGGGTTTG